GCAAACTTGTTCGTTTGCAATCTTGTTGTTACTACTCGAGTATGGATGTGGGTGGATGTGGCATGTTGAAAAGAGTTTGGAATGCTGCGGCTAAATGAGGACCTCCTGGATGTAAATGAATGCGGTTTCCTTACGCAGATGGAGTTCGTGGAGGGGTTGCTCAACATTTGTTTGCTGGACATGCCGGTTTCAACCATGCAAAATTTGAAACTCTTGAAGATTATTCATGACCAATTGGTTCGAGTGGAGCACTTTCTGGATGGCCAGTCTCATCCAGTTGACTGGCAAGATGATGAGGTTGGGATTTAGAGTCTTTAAACCTTAGAGTGATTGCCACTCGGTTTCCATTCGCCCAAGGCGAGCCAAATGGAGAGACCTTGATTTGACACATGTGGATACATCGGTACGTCTCACCCTGAGCTCGAAGGAAATGACGCCTGTGTGTTTTGGAAACTTAACGCGTGCCGCATGCATCACAATAGACCTTATATAAATAGTCTATTGAGGCTCTCTCGACAATGATCCATCCATCAGCATCCAACTTGTAGCCTGATGAGGCCAAGTACAACTTTGATAATTCAAGAAGGACCCTGCCTTGTAATTGTTGTGGTGCAAAGGTAGCCTTCTGCAACCTGCTTTTTGGTGGGGGAGAGTTGGGTAGCCATCTTTGCAGGTGATGAAATGATTCGATCTTTGCAATCTCTCACACGTGGGGTGTTGAAGTTCTGGGCAGCTTGTAGAAGGATACACTCACTATATGGCATGTGACACCTGGCCAAGTTTTGTTGTTTGCTAAAATGCATATTTACGTTTTGTGACCTTATCCGTATGCATCGCAACTTACAACTACTGAGTTCGACTAGGTCGCAGCTGAGCAAGAGCAAGCGCAACCAATCCAACGATCAAGCAATAGCTGTGTCATGGCCAATGATTCAAACCTAGCAGTAGAGCTTGTTTTCCCGGCCCCGAGGGTAGGGATGTCCGACCTAGGGCAAGTGTTTGCTACATAGCACGCTAGCCTTTGTGCCGAGTCGATGGAGAAGCGGGGTCGGGGAGACGTGCTTTTCCGGAACCTCAATCGAGATGACGGGCTGTGGCAGACAGCGCAGTTGAAGACAAAATCGAACACTTCCCAACCGAAGGTGCGGCAAGTGAGAGTGGTGCTGTAAGTTTTTCCGTACAAAAAGTCAACGTTTAAATGTAGAACTGTAGAACTACTATGGCTATCACATACTACCACATTATAATACAAATTGTAATACAAAAAAAACTACTTAGGGCCGTCCCTTGCTGGACGGAAGTGCAAAGCGCAGGCGGTGAAAGGCGAAGAGAAACCGCGCTCGAAACAGCGCTCTGCCGAGGCAAGAAGTTGACCGGACAACTGGGAAGCGCAGAACAAGATAAAGCCCTAAGAGCGATGGCCTCCAACCCAGTAGCGACGGCGATCCACCCTAGTAGCAATGGCCTCCGACCTACTAGCGATGGCCTCCAACCTAATGGGAATGGCCTCCAACCTAGTAGCGATGGCCTCCCCCTAGGAACGATGGCCTCCAACAACTTGGAAGAACTTAATCTCATTTTTAGACGTCGAAGAATTACAGCTCTTTATGTTTTCTATTTTGGCTTTTGGCAACCTTTTCTGTAAGCGCCCCAGCCTGTCAGGAGATTCTCGCTGGCTTCCGTAGTGGTTGGACGGAAAAGCTTCAAGAGGAGCCTGTGACATCTGACGCCCAGGCGGTCACGAGGGCCTCAAGTACAGAAGGAAGACTGAAATGGTTACCTGCAAGAACTATAGGAAGAAATAACAAAACCGCTTCTAGGTTGGAGGCCATCGCTAGTAGGTTGGAGGCCATCGCTATTCGGGTCTCCATCGCTCTTAGGGTGGAGGCCATCGCTGGTAGGTCAAAATCTATATAACGTTTAAAGACAAAAAGAGAGATGATAGTAAAGGAGACAAATCGGAGAACCAAATCAACCATGCAGCAGGTTCAAGAAAGTTCCGGAGCTTCGCATCCGGATGCTACCGTAGCTTTAATTTGTGTGGTTTGCTTAACTAATTAGTTCATAGACACGCAACTATGCAAGTCGGTCTTTCTGACATCAGCACAAAAGATAGTTATATAGTTCAAATGTTCTCATTCTGCAGTCGCTTTTTGTCCTTGTATGCTACGAAACTTAACAACTACCACTTAGACATAGACCTAGCTCTCCCATGACTCCTACCTGCTTCTGACCCCACACGAAAACATAAACAGACTTGGGTAACAGACTGTTTGTCTCCCCGAAACTTTTAGGTCTTGGATGTCACATTTGTGTTTCCTTTTCATTTTCTTTGCACTTTCTATTGTTTTATTCCTTTTCGTAATTTAGACATGTCCCTCTTTCTTCAACGTTTCGACTGTAATCGAATTGACTATGCCCGAGCACACCCCTTCAGTTCCTCGCAAGCGGTGAAAGAACGACTGCCTCATCAAACTTCGGCAGCGGGATTCTCTTGATATGGCCACCTAATTCTGCAGTGACAAGTTCAGCAGCTCAAGGGGCAAATGCATCTGTGACCCGTTGCTAAGACCTGGGCGGCGCGAAGCACTAGCATGCACTAGCGGAGACACGCTCCCGAAGTGCCTGCAGCACACTCCACGAAACCTCCATGGTTGCTTTGCGAATCCTGATGCTTTTTGCACAAATTCTCAGCACAACTTGCCCTCTTCCCATTGCCGAAAGCCGATCGCCGGCCGTCTCAGAGGCGGACCTCGGTGAACGCACTGAGCGCAGTGAGCGCGCGGCCCGCGCGACCGAGGCGCCCAGCGCGCGCAGTGCGCGCAGCCGGAGCCCGAAGCGAGAGTCCGACGGCCGATCGCCGTCGCGCTCGAGGTGGTCACGGTCCTCCAGTTGAGCGGTTTTTACGTCAGATGATCAAAAACGTATGCGCAAGTAGTCCAATGTGAATAGTTGCGGAGGTAGCACCACCATCAAGCCATATCGGAGAAATGTTTGAAGCGTTTGAAGGGTCCGAAACGTCCGGCATGTTCGAAAAGTGCGACGTCAAGACGTTGGAAAAAAGGATGACTTGCAAGCCCCAACACGACATGGCTTCGTCGCCCGAGGATGGAAAAGATTTTTTTCGTGGCCCGAAAAGCTCCAAGAGTGACATTGTGCAATCTCGCCAGTTTTGCACCTTTTTTTTGACAGAAAGCAGAGACGTCGCGAACCGGGGCCACTACCGGGGCCATGGCGGATCTAACCAGCGCCTTGACAAGACTTGGGGAGGTACAGCAGCAGCAGGCAGCTTCTTTGCAGGGCTTAGAGAGCTTAAGTGAGCAGAAGCTTGGATGCATCAGGGTACACATGGCTCAGGCAAGCCTTTCATACTCATGACGGAGCTCGGTTCTAGTCGTTCTATTTTTGATGTTGCAAATTGGTTCTGAAGATTGCTTTCATAAAAGGGTGGGGCCGGAGGTTGGAGGCCGCTAGTAACGCTAGTAGGTTGGAGGCCATTACCAACTAGTGTTCTCATTCCTTTTAGGTCCCTATGTGACTATGTGACCTTTATTATCTGTTAGGGCATGCCTGGCCTCGCCGTCGCCGAGGCATCGAGAGTGGCGCAAGGCCGTGGATGACTTGCTGCTCCAAGTGGATGCTGCCCTCAAAGATCTAAAAGAACATCCAAAGACGGTCCCAGCATCTTCGCCTTCAGAGTTCGAGAAGTTGAACGAAGAAGAATCCTTCGAAGATGCATTGAAAGATGTTAGAAGTGCCACAAACGCTGCACCCAAAGATGCCAATCTCAGTGTTCCCAGCCAATCCATCGTTCTCACACAATCAATGATGTCCAGCGCCTCGATGCGAGAGGGTGGCGAGGCTCGCGAGGCTCGCGAAGGGCCTTTGAGAAAGAGTATGAGCTCCAACTCTTTGCTGAGGCCAAGTATGAGCTCCACGGGAAGAAAAGATAAGAAAAGGAACGGGAAAATCGAACAGAAAGAAAAGGCCAAAAGGGCACGGTAGGCTGTCCAACTTCGCATCACGCCCCTCACAGGTCACGCACCACCGTGGCCAATGACTTTCCTCCGGGGCCTTTGCGAAAGGTGGTGGTCGAGGTATTGGCAGATGATACGGAGGCGGGTTAAAAATAGGTCGGATCTGACCGGAAATTAGTACAGTTTGCTGTAGCAATGGCCTCGAACTTACTAGAAATGGCGTCCAACTGAATAGCAAAAGGGACCTAAGAGCGATGGCCTCCACCCCAGTAGCGATGGCCTCCAACTGAATAGCAAAAGGAACCGGAGAGCGATGGCCTCCACCCTAGTAGCGATGGCCTCCCCTTGGCCAAATGCACTTTGCTCCTTACAAACTGATCAGGACCTGCCTGCGGCTAATACATGGTGGCAATGGCTCCAACAAAAATGCATCCAGATTGTGCGATCTCGCTGGTTTGAGTTTCTGGCGGGCTTCGTGATTTTGTTGTGGCTTGGTCAGAGGGTATGTCTTGGTGTGTGGCGAGGTGTTCAGAAGCGTACATGTATTCATGCTGTTGCTGCTTGTCTGAGGAATTTGATCACGATTGGAATCGAAGCACATGTCTCCGTTACGGAGGGGACAGTCTATAACTCCGATTTTTGGCCGGGAGGAGATCCAAGGTTGTGGTTTGTCGTGACGCTGCCTGTTGCCTAGTGACGCGATGTGACATGCATTGATGGTCTCCAACCTACTAACAAAAGGAACCTACTTGCGATGGACTCCAACCGAGCAACTGGAACCTATGTATTTTTTTTTTCATGCTTCGAGTCTTTGATCCATCTTTCTTTTCTCCCTCATGAGTTGGGAGAAGACTTTGCTTTCAACCTGCAGCTTTGCTGCTTCAGGGCCATCCCGCCTTTCTACGGGATGTTTCTCCTTTTGTGAATAAGTTGCCCAATGTGGATGACCACTTGGCACTGCATATCCGTGGATTCATCGGTTGTGCATATCCGGCGTGTCCTCCGTGGCAGGAGTTGAGCGTATTTTCTTGTCTCTCTACTGCATCGAGGCCATCATACGAGTTTTGGCAGGCGGGTGGTCAACCTTCAAAGATTGGTGGTTCCTGATCCTTGGCTGCACTAGGCGCTAGCCATGCTGTGCATTTTGCTGAACATCAAGCCCATTTGTTGCTTTACGTTGCCGGGAGACGGGCATGCCATCGTAGATCAGGTTGGATCTTGTCTTGATCATCGTGGGATTGCTGGCTTTGTTGGTGATCCCGATCATGAACGCTGAGTCTGATATGTCAGGCTCTGAGAAGCTCTTGGTGGTCCGCGGGCTGCGGCTCTTCCGATTGATGAGGGCTTTGCGGATGCTAAGTCACTTCAAGATAGTGTGGCGATTGGTTTATGGTCTTCTTACTGCCGTGCAGACCATCATTTCGATGACCATGCTGATCGCCGTGTCCCTTTTCATTTTTGCATGTGTGGTGCCTGGCTCCCAAGTTGGACATATTTTTGATCTTTTTTGTACCCCAAAGTTCGTTCCACTTGCTTCTCAATACATTTGGTGTCATAATGTGTCATATTGAAATGAGCTAGTAAGAAGTGCAAGCATGTATGCCCTTCCCCCAGGCAACTGCGAGCTTTAAGGGTCAAACTTGTGTCCTAACCTAGCACGGCAGCACGTCTCCGTGGACTTTGGCGTGTTGAACATTTGCTCCGTTTGGGGCGTTGTTTCAATGTGTTCCCAAACAGTGGTGACACTGGGGTGTTCACCGATGCGGACGGCTATTTCACTGCCAGTTGCTGCGGCTATTTCGAGACATTCCCCTCGAGATCGAAGGTGGTCAGCGGTGCTGTGGTGCCATGCGCATTTGACGTGGCTGTGAATACGTGCGCTCTCATGTGCTCTCAGCTGCGTGCTGTCATGCGTGTGCTTTTTCACATGTTTGCCATTGCTAGTGTAGTTTTGCGCTCTCATGTGTGTACTCTGAAGCGCGGAAGTTCGTTTATTCAGGGTGGAAGCCATTGCTGTTTGTTTTTGAAATACGTTGACCAAGCACGTGGAGGCCATAGAGCTCATTGCGAAGGATCATCAGTTGCAACAAGACGAGACAACCCGAGACATTCTCTCTGGAAATTTTGCCGGGTTACCAAGCACATTGCTCACTTTGCTACAGTTCGTCACCTTGGATGATGTTGCCGACGTGTACTTCCCTTTGATTATGGCGAAACCGTACCTTTGCGCCTTCTTCTTTCCAATTCTCATGTTCATATCCGTGGGACTGATGAATCTTGTAACAGCCAGCTTGGTGGAAAATGCAATGCAGACTGCAGCACTTGAAGCAGAAGAAGAACGGCTTAAGCTCAAGAAGAAGGTCAAAAATGCTGAAGCCTCAGTTGTTCAGGCAAGCACATCCAGAAGAAAACATCAATGCCGTGTGAGAGATGCAAGCTTTGTGGTGAGTTGTGCAGTTCCACATTCAATTATATATATATATATTTATATATATTATATAGTGATATTCATTTCCCAGTTTTGCCCAGCACTAAGGCTTTGCCATCTTTGATTGAGATTTTCCACCAGCTTGATGCCGATCATAGCGGGCTCATCACCCATGACGAAGTAGAGAATGTACCGGTAAGCATTTTGCCTCCAAGGGTATTGGATTCGATTTGCGTGGAGAACATGGCAGACATTTTTGATTACCTGGACGTGGATGGCACTGGAGAACTTACACAGATGCTCGGCAAACTCGGGAGGGTGAGCCATGGCGATAGGCTCAGGTTCTTGGGAGTTCTTGCTTCTAATAGCTTCTTGTTACTACTAGTAAGGCACTTGTTACTAGAAGCG